GCACTTTTATTGTACGGGAAGTTCGCTAGTACGGTAAAAACTATTCCACTCGGATGCAAAAACACTGCGTTAAAACATGTTATGTCGTTCAGGAGACAGGTGGCAATGTTTCTGAAACAACCTGAATTGGAGGTGTCTTTTAGAGTTTCACATGAAGGGAAGACATACATGGTCTATGCTAGCACAGGTAGTTTAAAGTGCTTCGAATGTGGAGATGTGGGACATAAAAGGTCGAAATGTCCTCATAAGGCTGGTAGTAGTGGTGTTAATAATGTCGTCACTCCGGCCGAAGATTCAGAGGTCAGTGAATCTAATTCTAATCGAGAGCAAACAATTCCTACTGTAATCCCTGTTGTGATTCACACTGTTGATTCAGAGGTAAGAAACGAATCCAATGCAGAGCAAATTATTCAAAATGAAATTAAAGAAAGTGATGGCGGTGTTGTTGCATCATGTGCTAAGGTAGATCATGGGAAGGGGACTTTTGACAATACTGTTGCACTTGAGGAAAGCCTTGGATCAGAATGTAAGGAAATTGAGGATGTTCAGATGAAAGAAGTGGCTACAATGGAGGTGAATGAGATGTTGAGTTCTCAGTTGGTTGGAGAGGAGGAATTAAGGGATGAGGATACCCTTTCGGATATTTCTGAGATTGGTTCTCAAAATATAGAAGAAATGTACTCATTGGAGGAGATCAATGTCTTTTTGGACACAACATTTGGTAAAGTAGTAGAGGTGAAAGATTTTTTCCCAGATGTGGAAAAATTTGTTTTCTCTGTGAAAGTACTGCAGCGCACAGCGAGTTATGATGTATTGAGTAAACAAAAGAGGTACAGATTAAAGAAAATTGTTACGAAATTGAGGAAAAATAAAGGGCCGTCTCTTTTTAAAAAATAGTGGCTAAAGTGCACTGGGTGACTCTTATGATGTGTTATTTTTCTCTGTTTCTGCCTCTGTCCACTTTATATTCTAACTCTTTTATGGACAACTTAAGGGTGGGATCTTTAAATATAAACGGAGGAAGAGATAGGACAAAATTAGCAGTGATTTCTGAATTCTTAAATATAAATCAGGTTAATATTGTTTTTTTGCAAGAGACTCATAGCAATGAGGAGAATGAAATTGAGTGGAATAGATGGTGGGAAGGGAAATTGGCATTGAGTCATGGGACAAACAATAGTGCGGGAGTAGCTATCCTTTTTAAAAAAGGGTTGAATGTTAACATTTTAAATATTGAAGAAATTGAAAAAGGAAGGGTATTATTACTGAAAATACAGTATGGGGAACATGTGTTTGTTTTAGTGAATGTGTATGCTCCAAATAATGGAGTGGAAAGAGTAAGAGTTTTTGACAAATTAGATAAAGCACTTCACAATTTTGATGATGACACTTGGTTAGTGTTAGGAGGGGACTGGAACTGTACTATTAATTCTGTAATTGATAGGAATGGTGAAGAGCCACATAGTCACTCTAGTAAATTTCTGTCTAATATAATGGGAAAATATGATTTAATGGATGTGTGGAGAAGAAGAAATATTGGTGTAAGAAGGTATACATGGATTAAAGTTGCAGAAAATACGGTTAGTGGGGCTAGACTGGACAGGTTTTATTTGAGTAAGCTGGTGGAAAACAGGGTAATTAGTGCATTAATCTTGCCAAATGGTTTTTCTGATCATCATTTGATCTTATTTGATTTTAATATAAAACAATGTTCAAAACCTAGGTATTATTGGCATTTTAATGAAAAAATGCTTAAAGATGTGTCCTTTTGTGATAGTTTTAAAATGTTTTGGGAGAAATGGAAAGAAAGGAAAAGTGATTTTGAAAACCTTAGTCAATGGTGGGATGTAGGCAAGGTGCAAATTAAAGAATTTTGTCAAAATGTTTCTGCTTGTAATATTACAAATGTGAAAAAAAACTATACAGAGCTTACAAAAGGAAATTGAATATTTGGAAGAGGACTTGATGAATAACGAAAGAGCACAGGACAATGGTATGCTTTTAAGCAAGAAAAAGAAAGAACTTGGAACTGTGTTACAAGAACAAGTGAAAGGGGCACTTATAAGATCGAGGATTTGTTCAATCAAAGACATGGATGCTCCAACTTCATATTTCTTTAACTTGGAAAAAAAGACAGTTCAATATAAACAGATGCATTATCTTCGTTGCAAAAATGGAAATATAACAACAAATCCATCTGAAATGAGAAAGTTGGCGATGGACTTTTATTCTGTGTTGTACAGTGCTGAAGAATGTGATCCTGATAGTGCAAAAGATTTACTAAAAGATTTAACGCAGTTGGAGCAAGGAAAAAGTCAAGCTTTGGATGAAATGATTTCATATGGAGAGTTAACAGAAGCAGTGCAGCAGTTGTCTATGGGGCGTTCTCCGGGAATAGATGGATTAACAGCTGAGTTTTATAAACATTTCTGGGGATTATTAGGAGAGGATTTTTATGAAGTTGTACAAGAATGTTTTAAAAATAAAATACTTCCTGTTAGTTGTAGGAGGGCTGTAATTTCACTGTTACCCAAAAAAGGAGATTTGGGATTTTTAAAGAATTGGAGGCCAGTATCCTTATTATGTTTAGATTATAAAATGATTTCAAAATCTATCGCAAATAGGCTTAAAAATGTTTTAGACTTATTGATTAATAAGGATCAGACATATTGTATACCAAACCGATCAATGATGGACAATTTGTTTTTTTTTAAGAGATGTGATTGATCATGGTTGTATAAATGATTCTAATTTGGGTGTCCTGTCAATAGACCAGGAAAAAGCATTTGACAGGGTAGACCATGATTATTTTTTTAAAGTGTTAAATGGCTTTGGAATCGGTGATAACTTCATTTCTTATGTTAAATTGTTATACTCTGATGTATCAGTTCTAATTAAGGTGGGTGGAGGAATAAGTGCCCCAGTTGCAGTCACTAGAGGTATTAGGCAGGGTTGTCCTCTTTCTGGGCAATTATATAGTCTTGTAATTGAACCTCTGTTGTGTAAATTAAGGAGAGAACTGGCTGGTTTTTCAATTACAGGTGTAAAGGAAACCTTTAAGGTGTATATGTCTGCTTATGCCGATGATGTAACCGTTTGTATTTCGGGACAAAATGATGTATCAGTTTTGGAAACAAGCATCAGGCAATATGAGATGGCTTTCTCTGCCAGAGTTAACTGGGAGAAAAGCGAGGGGTTTATTACTGGCCGGTGGAGAAACACCGGACCTCCGAAACTTCCAGGAGGACTGATTTGGAGGAGGGAGGGTATAAAAGTGTTAGGTGTTTTTCTAGGAAAGGAAAGTTTTAAAATGAAGAATTGGGAGGGAGTGCTGGAGAAGGTGGTAGCTCGATTGTCTAAATGGAAATGGCTATTACCACAATTGTCCTATAGAGGAAGAGTTCTGGTGGCAAACAATCTGGCAGCTTCCACGCTCTGGCACAAACTCATTGTTCTGGAACCACCAAGTGAACTAATTTGTAATATACAGAGGAAAATAGTGGACTTTTTCTGGAGTGGCGAACACTGGACTCGGGCTGCGGTGCTTTACTTACCGGTACATGAAGGAGGTCAAGGTCTGGTGGATGTAAAGAGTCGAATTGTTGCTTTCAGGCTGCAAGCGGTGCAGAAATTTCTATACCAAGAGGAATTAGCATGGACACAGACGGCATGTGCTTTTCTGCAGAAGGTTGAAAGTTTTGGACTAGACAAACACTTGTTTCTATTGAAAATGGACGGGCTGAAACTGGACAGTCTCTCTTCTTTTTACAAATCAATGTTGCAAGCTTGGAATAAAGTTCTGAAAGTGGAGAGAAACTTGAATGAGCTTGGGGACTGGATGTATGAGGAACCACTGTTCAATAATCTGTTGATTCAGACCCGGTTTTTATCATCAATGAGCATTCGGAGAACTCTTGTAAAGAATGGAGTCACTAAACTGGGACATTTACTGGACAATGGCAGATGGAGTTCAGTGGTCACTTTTAAAGAGCTATCTGGTCTGTGCTCGATAAGAATTGTTTCAAAATTAAGAGATGAGATTTTTGCTGCTTTGCCGAGCAGTTACAGAAACCTTGTTGCTGGGGGACATGTACAACAGCGGAAAGGAGGGTTTCCAAAGTTGAAAATATTTCCTGCTGTCAGTGAAGGACAAGAAGAGCGGGAAGGATCTATACTGACTTTTAAAACTCCGCAGCTGGAAGAGCTTGAGGTTGCATCAAAGAAAGCAATGCTGTATGTTACAGTGAAAGTCATTCACATGGACTCACTCAGCCGGCAGAGTTTCGCAAAGTGGAAAGAGACAATGGAGCCAGACTTCATGGTGAGGGACAGGTGGAGAGTCCTGTATAAGCCTCCCATCGAGAAGCGGACAGCTGATCTGCAGTGGAGGCTTATTCACAGGGCGATAGCTACAAACAGACACGTAGCACACCTAAATCCAGCAGTGGGGGGGTGTTGTAGTTTCTGTAGTGCTGAAGAAACGATAGAGCATTTGTTCTTACAATGTTTGAGGCTTGGAGGTCTTCTTGACTTGCTTGATTCTTGGTTTCAGGGGATTGGTGAGGAGTTTTCCCATAAAGTTTTTATTGGGGGACTTAAATACAAAGTGCTCGATAGAGGTAAACTGTGTTTATTAAATTACCTCATTGGTACAGCAAAGCTTGCAATATGGAAAACAAGAAAAAACAAAGAGTTGAAAGTTGGTTCAACAAATGTAGAAATGATGTTGAAGTGTATGGTAAAAGGAAGGATAAAAATAAAATTTTCATATTATAAGCTGATCAACGATGTTGAAAGGTTTTTAAGAATATGGGGTATAAATGAGGTTTTGTGTGTTTTTGATGATGCAGATTTATTTTTTACTTTTTAGTATATGTTTTAAATTATTTTTTGTTGAGGTAAAAGGATACAGGTAACAATGGTGTTGTAAAATCCTGAATTTAATGTAACAATAAATCTGTTCAACTCTCTCTCTCTCTCTCTCTCTCTCTCTCTCTCAGAACTATACCCAGTACATCCCTCTGTCCATCTATGACCTACAGACATGGATGGGAAGTCCCTCCATCTTTGTGTATGACTGCTCTAACGCTGGGATCATTGTCAAGTCATTCAAACAGTTTGCATTGCAGAGGGAGCAGGAGCTGGAGGTGTGTGCTTTCAGTCGCACACATGCACGCACGCACACACACACTCTCATGTGCATACACCATTATGGTCAAATGTCAATTCAATGTGTTATTTAACATTGTTATTTATTTTACATCTGAATATAACTTTTTATCATGCATAACGTATAGTCTATTATAAGACTATACATACAATTTTGTAATGTAGTTCTAACACAGGGTGAACTAATAAAAATAAATAACAATAAAATACCAAGGGAGAGATTGATCTATATGCAGTGAGTTTTATTACCAAAATAACATACTAATAACTTCAACATGAAGCAAGGAACAGAAAAAAAAAAAAAAAACACACCAAAACATATAGCCATAAGGCAAGACTCTACAAAAACACAGGAAACACTTGGGCTATTTATAAACAAGATAACTGTCAGATTTGTGCAGCTTGCTGAAGACGAGGACACGGGAACTTCAATGTAGCTAATTTATTTACAAACCAAGCTTCCAGAAACATAGAGGAACACAGGAATAAACTTCAAGGGCCTGATGTATAAACGTTGCGTACGCACAAAATGGGCATAGAAATACGCGTACAGATTTTTCCACGCACATATCGGGATTTATAAAAAATAAACTTGGCGTAAATAAGTGCGCACCGTAAGGATGCTCTTGACCATGCGTACGCACTCTTTTAGAAGAGTAGGCTATGTGTTTTGGCGACACCGATGGTGAGGCTGAGCTGGAGTCAAATGTCTTTTTGCTCACTATTAGACAGAGAATCTAAAGAAAATTATCTACAGAAATATAATACAAATATAATTTCACAAACCTATCATCACTTGAAGCAAACATCCATCCCTTCTTAAATGACCGCGCCAGCACGCGCGTTGGGCCGTTTAGTGAAACTGACGCACATATAGCCTAGGCCTATAATCGTTGCGGCAGATGGAGTAAAACCGTAAATCTTCATTATGAGTCCAAATCATAAGTGCATGTTCTCAATAATAGTTTAAATAAATAAAAGAATGATTTAAACTATGTTTTACTTCTGATATAAACATTTAGATTAAATATGCCATTCTCATTAATGGAGTTAAACACTTAAACTACATGAAATCATTACTGAGAACTTACAAAAAAATATATTCAATAAATAGAAATAGACCTATTTGTTGTGGATGCAATGCTTTTGAACACTTTCCCTCTGGCATGCTGTGTTTTAATGTTTTAACTGATAGCTAATAGCAGATTGTCTGAGAAAATTGTTTCGTGCAAATAATGCACAACCATGTCTATCTGTTTCCATTAAAATATAAATCAATTAAAAATACTTTTTGGCCAGTGGAAAAGATTGAGAAAAACTTTATCTTAAATGTATTAACACTATTTGATTTATTCATTCAAAAACAAGGCAAGGATAGGCTACTAAAAAAAATATGTTTGTAATAATGTGACGGCACATCCGCATTTCATATTTTCCTAAAGTCTTGTACCATTAAACTTGGTATCACGTGGATGAATAATCATATGCAAATGATATGCAGGTGAGGATATGCATAGTAAAACTAGGCGTTGCAATCTCCATATATGGTTATTTCGGGGAGGAGACGCACGTGCGCACAATCTCCCGTTGACTGGGATTTATAAAGTGAATTCTGCGCAGGTTCTGGCGTACGAACGGTTTTATAAATCTGAAAACTTTTGTGCGTACGCAAATTCTGCCTTATGTGCGTACGCCCACTTTAAGGATGAAATCTACGCAAAGTTTTATACATGAGGCCCCAGGACTTCAGTACACACAACCATACATGGATGATGACCAACAAACACTGAGGGAAAACACAGGGCTTAAAGGGGGGGTTGACTGCTTTTTTTCTTTGCATGATTGTGTTTATGGGGTGCAATATAGCATGTATTCATGGTTTTTCTTTTTTAAAAAGTCTTATTTTTTATAAACTTCACCTTTATTGTAAGCCGCGCTCTCCTCTGTCCCCTGAACAAGCGGTTGACTTCCTGATTCTATGAAACCACTCCCTCAGAAACACGCCGTGGGCTCAGATTGGTTAGTTTGGCCCGGTGTGTTGTAATTGGCTAAACTGTCGCTCACGTTGTCCGGAAGGTTAACGCCCATTACCTTTACGAGCGAAACATGCATCCCATGAGCTCCGGTCCAGAGGTAAATATGGGTCGAACTGCAGTATCAGTTTGAGGCATAATCAGACCGAGAAAGCCGCGATGAAGAGAGTACACAGAACCTCACCACACACGGCTCTTACTAAACGTTTCTGAATGATAGTTTGCTACATTTTTTAACTTTATACATGTTTGTTTTACACAATAGCATCTGACTGGCAACAATAGCAACTGACTGGCTACTATGTTATACTCAAACAGCGCTGGCAAGTTTACGTTATTGATCAAATCGAAAATAACGTCATAAAACATATACATGAAAAATACATTTACAACATTAGTCCCTATACAAAATTCAGGTCCATAATGTTTGTACACGTTTGTCGTAGACACAAAATAGCATAACTAGTAGCCAAGTGGCTATAAAGCCAGCACTGACATTTGAAAAAAATAAAACACAAGGCTACGTCTGGAATTATACATGCAAATACATTTAAAATTATGAAGTCTTAGCCTACTTACAGGTTGTGGCCCAACACTGCTGCTTCTTGTTTTAAAGTCGGAACTGCTTCATGTTTTAGTAACAGTTTCTTGTTGAATCCGGCATTGAATTCGTAGAGATTCTGGAAGCTGTCTTCCGTAAAATGCGCAGCACAGAGAGCTAAATTACGATCGTCATTTTCAGGAACATAATCAAACATAAATTGTATCCATTGTTGACGAAGTACATGTACGTCCGTGGGAAGCTCGAACACAGAAGACCTGACAGCTGGTGAACACAACACACTCGACGCGCTGCAGAAATATGCGCATGCCCTTTCCTGCATATTCCGGAGGGAGGGTTGATGCAAATGTGTGGGTTAGTGATGTACCATAACCCAGCTGTAGTCCCAACCGAGTAGTTTTTGTTGGCAATATACTTCCTGATTTTTAAAAGATGATATCTCTGCTTACAAAGAGCTTTCAGCGCTGCAACTTTGCAGATACTGTTCATGCACCAACAGCAACATTACACACTATTTAAAATGAAAAAAGTGAAATCGCAGTCAACCCCCCCTTTAAATGTACTGGGGCTAACAGGATAATTATGGTGTTTGTGCACGGAGGTTCGCAGACAGCAGTAACAGGCTGCTCTGTGAGTGACGTACCGATTGTGGTGAATGGGGAACGTTTCATGTCCGTTTTGTGGTGCGCGAGTATCAACAGGGGTGGAGGGCTTTTCTGTAAACGTTAATGCTTGAGAGCGGGCACATAGTTTACGTGTGTGTGTTAGTGGTCGACCAATATATCGCCACGGCCGATATTTGGCATTTTTATGTTAAGTTTTGACGGGCGGCGCTGAACACCTGATCAGTTGATCACACAGTGCTCACTCACATTCTTCGTCTTCATTAGTTAACGATCTCTGTCAGTCATATCTAATACTTTATTTGATTACCAGTTCTCAAGCCCTCAGTTCTGTCAAACAAAGTAAATGGTATGGGAAAAAGTAATTTGTTTGCTTTTATATTATTTGTTACAGAAAAGCCAATCAATCAGCCTAAAATACTTTCTCATTTACCGTCAACATTCAGCAAATGTGTATCTGTATAACTTAAACAAATCTCTGAATATCTAATAAACATTTAATTTCACAAACATTGCAGATTTAATTGAATCCAGCTGTGGTATATTGTGATGTGTGCATTTGTAGCCAGCATAAACGTGTTACTGCGTGCGCAGTGAGTGAATGCGAACAGAAGATCAGCTTCATAGGAGATGTGATCGAAACATTTAAATCCTTCATTTCAGAATATGCTGTGCTATATCCAATTGCCCACTGTGTCATATTCATGTCGTTTTTTTGAGCTGCACTGCGGCAGCTGTCCGAGCGCGATCGGCCGCCCTAGAGTCGCTGTGAAGTCTGACTGTGCTGGGCTGGGCGCTGTGAGGTGGCTCGTGCAGGAGGCCTGCAGAGGAGATAGCGTGACGAGGCAGGAATAAACTCATGGCTTGAGTGGCCTTTTGAACTTCGGAGAAACGCTCGACGATACCACTCACCGCGGAGCCGAAGAGACCGGAAGGAGAGAGCGGCGCGTTGAGGAACGTGGCGTATTCAGATTCTCCCATATCCGCGAGCGTCAGCCATAGGTGTCTCTTGGTTACAGTCAGTGTGGCCATACATTTTCCCAGGGCTAGAGCTGCAGATTTTGTGGTGCGAAGGGACAGGTCCATCGCGCTCTTTAAATCCATCACAGCCTCTGGTTGCCTGGCTTTTTCATCCCACTCACATAGGAGGTCCGCTGGAGGATCTGCAGGACGGCCATTAAATGCAGAGCGGATGCAGCTTGGCCGGCAGTGGCGTAGGTGCGGCCAACACAAGCGGAGGTAGTTCTGCAGGCCTTAGAAGGGAGCACAGTCTTAGATCGCCATCTTGCGGAGCAAAGGTACCGAGTCCTCAACAGGAAGGATCGACGAATAGCCCATCTCGGCGGCACCATCCACAGTGCAGAGCGAAGCAGAGACATGGGACCCTGGCTGAAAGAGGCGCATTCCACAACTTAGAAAGCTCCGCCTGGAGTTCTGGCAGGAAGGGAGCAGCCCAGGCCGCGGGCGCTGGGTGGCGGCGGCTCTGAAGGAAGCAGCTGTTGAGTTTGTTAGGTGCTGACTCAGCAGGCGGTGACCATTCGAGCCCGAGGCGGTCGACGCCCTGTGTGAGGAGGTGCATAAGCTCGTCTTCGACTCCAGCACGTCCTGGGGGGGTGGGGAAGGTGAAGGCGAGGCTTGAGGGAGAGGCTCCGGTGAGACAGTCGCTTCCATCACGGGTTCCGGCTTCAGTGTTGAAGACTTCCAGTCGAGCCCACAGGGTCTACATGGGAAGCTCCTCGCAGAGATCGCATCCGCCATCG